TTTCTGAGAAGAGCAGTTCTAACCAATTTTGAAACAGCTAGCGACTTTTTCAAGGGCACTTTGGCCACACATAAAACTGGACGCGAGGAGCGTATGCTCCCTGTAATTTTACATTAGAATTTGCATAGTGAATCGCTTAAAAGGGTCCAGACCTTCGAAGAGAGTATGGAGAGGTAGCCTCTAGATAGGCCTTCAATCAAAGTGGGTCTTTTTACGAACTGCACTTCCTTGTATTCAACGTTGAGGAGCCATGCTTTTCACTAGATGGCGGCCTAGTTTGGAACTTCTCCGGACGTTACGTGTCAACTACCTGTTTTTTAATGTTTCCTGCACGTCTTATCAAGGAGAGGAATGAAAATGACAAACTACTTCTGGCCATAGCTTCAGAGATCCCTTTTCTAATTAAAACCGACCACTAGAAGCTAAAATACAATGATGTCGCGTCTGTACTTGTGTCCTTAAACAATACACCAAAGGTCGCGACACCCAAATAAGAAAAATGTTCACCGTTTTCTGGCAAATTGTTCTGCATAAGGACCTCTGCGCAAACTAAAAACTTAGAAATTTCCAATCTGATCATCACTGTACACTCAAATATCTTCTTTCTAAGAACTGTTACGAAACAGTGCTTCGCTTGTAAGTAATGTTGGCCCTGACAGAACTGGATTTATACTTAACAGTTTTTTTAGTATGCATGAAAAAACGTAGCTTATCCGAAGAATAGTTTTTGAACAAATTGTAATTTCTGTCAAACTTACAGATTCTTAACTGACTTCTGGTTAATCAGCTTGACGAGGAATTGGAAATTTGGTCTTTGGGAGCGGCAAGCAAACGCCACTAGTTCCCACGACATACTTATCACGCATCCCTTCTACATCCTGACTTAATTTGCCAATGCTGTTCAGCTTCTTGGAGATTTCTAATGGGCTGTACGGCTCAAGGCTCACGTCATCCTTTTATGGGATATGAACCCGATTTTCGTTACAGATGATACGGTTCGGACAGATACA